GAACCCAACAACTCAAAAGAAAACAAAAATCTTTAAATCTGGAAGCAAAGCATAGAAGAAAATCAGTAACGTTTTATAAAAAAAAGTCATAGAATTCTGTTTCACCAGTGCAGTCTCATGTAATCTCTCTTTTGTTGAATTTGCAGTGTTACTGTGGTCTGACCTTTCCATTAACATTCAACATTATTATTGATATTTCAGAACTTGTCCCTACCATTAAATTGGCCTTTCTCTTGGTCATTTCTTGTTCTCTTATTTCTCTGTCTGTCTTCAGTTTTCCTGGTATAGTACTCCCTTTAGAACTTCTCGAAGAACTGGTCTGGTGTTGAAAAATTCTTTTAGGTTTTGTTTATCTGAGAATGATTTTATCTTTTCTTCCCACATGAAGGATAATCTTGCCAGATACAGTATTTTTGGTTGAAATTGTTTTTTACTTAACACTTTGAATATATTTTCCCATTATTTCCTTATTTGCATTGTGTCTGAGAAGAGGTCCAATGCTAGCCTGATGGGATATCCTTTGAAAGTAACTTTACATTTTTCTCTTGCCAATTTTAGTATCTTATCTCTGTCTGTGATTTTGGTCAATCTGGCTATGATGCGCCTCAGGGAAAGATCTTCTTGGGTTGATTCTATGTGGGGTCCTTTGTGTTTCTTAGGTCTGGATATTTGAATACCTCTGTAGGTTGGAAAGTTTTCTTCTAGGATTTCATGGAACAGATTATAAATGCCCTGATTAGTTTATTCACCTTCTGGAATACTGATTATCTGGACGTTTGGGTATCTAATGGTATCTAGCATTACTCATATATTCTTCTTATTTTTTGGGTTATTTTCTGTATTTTTTGTTGAACTTTTCTAACTCAGAGGTTCTATCTTCTACATTTGAGATTTGATTTTTTGCATGATCTAATCTGCTTTCCATACTTTCGAGGGAGGTTTTGATTTCCCGTATTACAGCCTTCATATCTAAGAGTTCCGTATGATTCTTTTTTATGGTGTGTATTTCTTCTTTCACATCATGAAAGAACCTCCTCACCTCCTGGAACTCATTGTCTCTTTTCTCCTGCATCTTCTGGAGTTCATTGTCTCTCTTCTCTTGCATCTCTATTAGCTTTGTCACTATGAATATCCTAAATTATTTTTTTAAAAAAAGAATAATTTTATTTATTTATTTATTTATTACTTTTCACATGAGTTTTGTCAGAGAAAGACAGAGAGAGAGAGAGAGAGAAAGTTACCAGGTCTGGGACTTGAACCGGTCGGCCATGTGGGAATTCCAGCGCCTCAACCTCCATGCCACCTGCTGGCCCCAAATATCCTAAATTCTTTATCTGACCTTTCCACAAGTTCCATTGTACTGTCTGTGGATGATGAAGGGCTTTTCTTTCCCCTTGGGGGAGTGATATTTTCTTGATTTCCCATATATCTGTTTCTCTGGTGGTGGTTTCTGGTCATCTAATGGATTATTCGTTACTTCCTACCTTCTGGCTTTTCTCTGGGTGTTGGGCCAGAAGGAGGGGTGTGGGGCAGAGGCTTTCCAGTTAAAGGGGCAGGGCTAGGCTCACGTCAGATCCACATGGATTCTGGCTTTTCACTGGGTGTTGGGCCAGGAGGAGGGGTTTGGGGCAAAGCACAATGTGCTACTGTATTTTCTTTCTCTGCATAGCATGAGCTCCTCTTCCTCCTTTATGGTCCAAGTACAGTTTCTGTTGAGCTTCATGGGGTGGCCACGCCTTGCCATTTGCACTCACTGATCCGTGTGAGTGACCATCCATTACTAAAGTATTTAGTAGTGGTAATATTTTTCGCCAACTTTTAACTACCTTTTGGCAGTAAAGAACCTGGGTTCCAGATTGATCAGCAGAGAGCCGATGACCAACAGGGAAGAAATCAGTTTTTTATTTTTAAATTCCTTCAATAGTGATACTTGATATAAAATTGGAGGCTAGGAGGAGAAAAATTGCATGTAGCAAATACCACTAGTGGCCGACCCAATACACATTCCCCCTATCTTTTTGCTAATAAAAGTCCCAGTTTTGTTTAAGGCTGCAATGCACCCACTTTAAAAAAAAAAAAGTGACAAGAGGTAACCATATGGCACAGTTTCAACCAATGAAATGTCAGAAGTGTCATGGTGACTCCTTCAGAACAGCTTTCTTTATTTTAAAGAATTATTTAATTTTATTTATTATTATTATTTTTTAACTTGCTATAGGGCATACAACCAGAGAGGGACAAAAGGGGTGGGAGCGATGTGATAAAGCAAGCTACCAGGCCCAGAACTCAAACCGCTGTTGGTCACGTGGAAGTCCAGTGCCTTAATCACCATGACAGCTGGCCCCAGGAAAAGTTTTCTTTGTGATTTAAAAAAGTAAGGGTGGGGCCAAACATAGTTGGTGCATACATTTTATTCTTTGTCCTTCATCTTTTTTATCTAGAATATGGATATAGTATTTCTTTTTCTTTTTTCTTTTCTTTCTTTCTTTTTTTTTTTTTTTTGAGAGGTTTTTGCTATAGGACGCATGTGATCACAAGAAAGACAGAGAGACAGAAAGCGAGAAATCACCCCCCAGGGAGGATGGCCATATCACAATCCCTTCTCCTCCATTCTCCTCTCGGGATCTTGGGCACACATGCACAGGCACCCAGTGTGAGTTTAAGCCACCGGGTCCGGGCCTCGAACCACGGTCGACTACATAAGAGTTCAGCGACATAGCCATTATGCCAACTGCTGGTCCCTGGACATAGTATTTCAAAGTGAAACAACAACCTTGAGAGTCCAGGCTAAAGCTCTGACAGTAGGCCTGGAGGCCAGGAGGAGCTGAAGCACTTGGTGACCTCCTCAGTCAGCTACACAAGCCTAGACCATCTACTTCCAGACTTCTCATTGTGGGAATCAAATTAACCCATCCCTTTTAGTTTTTCATAAACACAGCCCAGCACAATACTAAGTGATGTTTGCCGTCTTCTCAAAATGCTAATGTTCACAATCTGACCCTAAAATTGCTGTCTTAGGACATTCTCACTTCCATGAAAACATGTCACCCTTAGCCCAAACCAAATGGTTATTCTGGCTCATGCAATGGGAATGAATACATACAGTTCGGTCTTGGCCTCTTATGATGCAACTGATTTAACAGTCATTTTAAAAGGATACATATTGTAAGGGCCAGCAGGTGGTGTGGCGTGGTGGTTAAGTTACTGGATTCCCTGTTGGTCAACTGTGGTTTAAATCCTGGATCTGGAAGCTTAAAGATCATGCCAGGCACATGGGTATGTGTACCCAAAATTCCAAGAGGGGAACAGAGGAGATGGGACTGCAGCATGTCCATTCCCCAGGGTATGATTTCTCAATTTCCCTTTCTCTGCCTCTCTCTGGCCAACATATGTATCCAATGGCAAAAACCAAACTATATATATATATAGTATATCTATGTAAGAATGTGCACACAAATTGATGCATTCTAGAGGGCAGAGGCTTCGTTTCACTCGTTTTATTCCTAGGTCCTAACAAAGGCAAGAATTCCCTTATCCTTTTAAGGCTGCCTTCTCTTTCTAGGGATAATCACAAAATATCTTGCTACCTTTGAGAGGTGGGGTCATGGAAATACCCTATGCTGGACTGCAGGATCCTTGGATCTAACCCTATCTCTGCTGAATAGTTTCACTGTGACAGCGAAACATTTCTTCTAATGAGAGCTCAGGGAGAAGCTCAATGCAATAACAGATAAGACTGAAGAGAGAAAACTCAAAGCCTCTCTTCCACTAGGCCATAAGATAATTTAAAAGCATGTGCAATCAATTTAAAGTATAGTTGTAACTCCCAGGTACACAGACCTAGGAGAACATGGTCACGCTCATGTTCAATTGTGACCCAATAGGTGGTCAGAACTCAGTCCATGCGGGGTCTTTGGAAGTGACCATTCCTGGAGACCCTATTGCCAGTGCTTTAGCTCATGACTTTAGATGACGCATGACCAGTTATTTAACTGCTCCAGGAAATATTTTCCTCATCCTTAAAATTATAATGATAGTGCTAGACATTAAGATGATAATACACAGGGGCAGTGAGTGGCATGGTGGTTAAAGTGGCTAGATCCCACACCTGTCTCTGGCTGTCTGGCTTTCTCTAGAGAGTGCACACACCCTACAGCAAAAAAAAAAAAGTGATGATAATATATAATACGAATGAGCAAGAAAAGGATATAGAATGCAATATTTTCCAAATATATTTAACCAAAAAATGCTTTGCAGTGAATAACTACAAAATAGCTACCAACTATTATTCCAAGATCTATCCTTTGGAAAAGTGTCTAATTGCCACTTTTTCATTTTTACAGATATAAGAACTTAGATTTTATTTTTTTTCTCTAGAATAAGGTATAATGTCTTTTTTCAGGTTTTTGCCATTGGGCACTTGTGCTCACTGGAGAGAGATAAGAGACAGTGGGTGGGAAAGTGAGACTTTACTCCCCAGGGAGGATGACCACACCTCAATCCCCTCTCCTCCATTGTCTTCCTGGGGTTTTGAGCATGCACGCATCCACACGCATGATTTTCAAGCCATCAGGTCCAGGACTCAAACTGTGGTTGGCCATGTGGGAGTCTAGTGCCTTAACCACTGTACCACCACCTGGCCCCAAAAGTACAATTTTTAATACGAGGGTATATAAGTCTTATAAGAAGGCTTATAATATCTTTCTCTGCAAATCCTTACATGCCCCCAATTATCACCAATTTGGCTTGAAATTTTACTATCATTGTACATAGAACAAAGCCTATTTAGAAAACTTGAAAAAAATGCATGATATAAAATCAAGATTTAAGTAAGATGTCCTTCTTAGAGGAAATGCATGCCAGAATTCTGAGCATACTTAAAGTCCTACTCAGCTTCTCATATGGGAGAAAGTAAAGAAGGAGAAATGAGGATACAAGTTCTGGGTTCTGGTCCCTCCAGCCCATTTCTGTAACACCCTGCCGTTTCCTTTTCTGACCAGGGGTCTCCCGTTTCTACCTGTCATTCCGACCACCCAGAAAGTCCAGCTTGAAGACAGACTCAACAGCCAGGAGCGCACCATAGCGTTCCTCATTGAACAAGCCTTCCGAATCAAGGAGGACATCTCTGCTTGTCTCCAGGGGACCCACGGCTTTCGAAAAGAGGAATCGCTTGCCAGGAAGTTACTGGAAAGCCACATCCAGACCATCACCAGCATCGTCAAAAAACTCAGCCAGAACATTGAGGTAGATCTTTGTGTCCCGGATGTTGGCACCATTGCATGACAAAGATCACAAACCACCAATGCCATTTTTCAACTGCAGAAATGTGTCACTGTTATTTAAATTTAAATGATTACCATTCAGCTGCCTCAGGAGGAAACAGTTCTTTTTTTTTTTTTTTTTACTCTTATTCATGCCACAAAGTACCAGAAACATTCATTCAAAAAACATTTATTCTATATCTAGCTTGTGGCAGCCAAGAAAATCGCTTAACATTATGCCAGACATTGTGCCAGGGTACCTATGTTAGTCTAAGTCTCCAAGGTTCTATCACTGTAACCATTTCGAATGGAGGTTTCCATAGTGTGTAGACAACGCTGGTTCCCAGGCCAGCCCATCACCCTGCAGTCTCTGACCCATGGTCCATCGCTCTCTCCTTCATTCTGGCCACGTAGGCCTTCCAGATTATCACGAGATACACCGGACATGCTAAGAACCTTTGCACTTGCTATTCACACTGGCTGGGTCACCTTCCCTTAAATATTGCTGTGAAGTGCCAATTTCTTTCAGGTCTTGATTCAAATACTATTTATAAGAGATTTCCTTGATACTCTATAAAATAGCATCCCCCAGGAATCAGCAGTTAGCGTAATGGCTATGTCACTGGACTCCCACGTTGTTGACCACGGTTCGCGTCCCAGACCCAGTGGCTTAAAACTCATGCCGGGTGCATGTGCATGCGTGCCCAAGATCCCGAGAGGAGAATGGAGGAGAAGGGATTGCGGCGTGACCACTCACCTGGGGGGTGATTTCTCGCTTTCTGTCTCTATGTCTCTCTCTCTCTCTCTGTCTGGCGAGCGCATACGCCCTATAGCAAAAACCTCTCAAAAAAAAAAAAAAAGCATCCCCCACAGCCCAAATAGTTTCAATCTCCCTTAAACTCTATTTTTATGCATAGTGTTTAACACAATGTACTACAAATAGAGATTTTAATTCTTTTTCCCTTCTAAAACATAACCTCCATAAAATTAAGAATTTAGCTGTGTTCTCTCCTAGATGGAATATTGCAAGGACTTAGTGTACTGAGATTGTCATTTGGTGGTAGAATTGTGAGAATATTTTTCCCCAGTTTTAAGATTTTTTTTTTCCATTGTGGGTTTCCCCCCTAAATCCCATGCTAGTTAACAACAGAGTCTGGTATGTAGTCAGCACTCTGCATATATTTCTTGAATAAATGAGCAAACGAACCAAAGCTCTTAAAGCATAAATTGAAAAATGAAATGTCTGATCAAAAAGAAAAATCTTGGGCTAAATCAGGATAAACAGGTTTTTCTTAAGGTTATCCCAAATTCCCAAAGTGCTATGTGTGTGATAATCCTGGGTCACTAATTTACAAGCAAGGGTTCCAGAGAATACGCTTCGGAAACTGGCCAGAAACTTGAGGAATCATCATAAGAACTGATAACGCTATCCTTTCATAATACCTGCTTTATCTTACTATGAGAAAGAACACGGGATTTGGGGGGAGGAGCATGGGATTCGCTCAGCAATGACTTCCTTGTACATTCGCTATTTAAGGGCAAGGATGTTTTTTCATTTTTTTTCTATGTGGTCTAGCAAACTCCATGAAGTCTGAGGAAATGTGAATCATTAAAAGCTCCTAGTGAACTTTATTGTAAAGTTTCCTCTTTTTTTTTGAGAGGTTTTTGCTATAGGGCGCATGCGCTCGCCAGACAAACAGAGAGACAGAGAGATAGAAAGTGAGAAATCACCCCCAGGGGGGATGGCCACGCCGCAATCCCTTCTCCTCCATTCTCCTCTCGGGATCTTGGGCATACACGCACACGCGCCCGGCGTGAGTTTAAGCCACCGGGTCCAGGATGTGAACTGCGGTCGACTACATGGGAGTCCAGCGACATAGCCATTAAGCTAACTGCTGGTCCCTGAGAAGTTTCTTTCATGAGAGAAACAGACATCAGGAGGGAGGAAGAAAAACAGCACCCTGGACAGGTCTCACTACACCACAGTCCCCCCTGCAGTGTTCCAGACAGCCAGGAGAACTGGCACCCCTGCGGGTATGCCTAGCATGCTGTGTTGAGGCAGGCTCTATCAGGCCCAAGGCCTGCCCATACGGCTCCAGTATCGCTCAGCAAGGCCATACCACTTGCATCGCGGTGCTGGACCTTCTAGTGAGTGGTTAAAAGTCACTTTACTGGTATTGAGCACATATTGAATTGACTTGCATGCCTAAAAAGTCGGTGTGACCGAAGGTGGTTTTTTGTTTTTTCCTCTTTTTGGAGAGGTTTTGCTATAGGGCACGTGTGCTCGCCAGAAAGACAGAGAGAGACAGAGAGACAGGAAGCAAGAAATCACCCCCCAAGGGGGATGGCCACACTGCAATCTCTTCTCCTCCTTTATCCTCTCGGGATCTTGGGCACGCACGCACACGCGCCCAGCATGAGTTTAAGCCACCAGGTCTGGGACTCGAACCACAGTCGACTACGTAGGAGTCCAGTGACTTAGCCATTATGCTAACTGCTGGTCCGTGACTGAAGGTGTTTACAGGCACAATAAAATGTCACGAACATGACAAGAGGCAAGCAACTCTGTGCCTTTTGAGAAGACTAGAAAATCAAATAAATAGCACTAACACTAAAATAAGATCCCAATTTAGGAGTCAAAGCTTCTTGGTAATTAAAAAGAGAACATTTTTAGAAAAACCAAAAATGTTTCTAAGAATGCTCTGTATTTTGATCTGGGTGGTGGTTACATAGTTGATTAATTTATCAAGCTCCATCCAGATATGTACTTGGTATATTTCAATGTGTATTCACTATTCCCTAATAAAATACTCTTAAGTGGAAGACAGGATTCCAGACCTCTAGAAATCTTTCCTTTTTTCTTTATTAGAGATTTTTACCATAGGGTACATGTACTCACTGAAGTTGGGGAGAAACAGTGAGAGGGAAACTGGGAAATCACCCCCCAGAGGGATGGCCATGCTGCAATCCATTCTCCTCCATTCTTCCCCTGGGATCTTGGGCATGCATGTACACTTGCCTGGCATGATTTTCAAGCCATGGGGTCTGGGACTCAAACCACAGTCACCCATGTGGGAGTCCAGCGACATAACCACTATGCCATTTGCTGGACACTAGAAATCTTGCTAACAGCATTTTTTCCCCTATAACTATCGATTATCTTTGATGATCTCTACAAAAAAAAAAAAATTTCTTAAAACTGTAAAACTTCAAAATATTTATAGTTCTGTGAAGAGTTTGGCATATATAAAGAAAATGAGGAGGATTATCTGGCTGTGTGAAAAATTAAATTAGGGGGATCAGCAGGTTAAGGGAGCCAGATTCTACATGGCCCACCACATGGTGCAAATCCTTGACCAGATGGCGTGAAAGACATTTCAGGCATGTGAGCATGCGTGCTCCAAATCTTGAAAAGGAGGGGAAATGGAGGAGAAAGGACCGTAGTTTGACCATGCCCCACTGAGGGTTGCTTTTTCCCTTTCACTCTCTGTCTCTGTCTCTACATCTGTCTCTGGTGAGCACATGGTACCCTTCAGCAAATAAAAAAATTTAAAAAAAAATTAAAAGCTGTTAGCAATGTAGTTAAAATACTAAAAAGGAGTAACTAGGCTCTCTAGTAAATAACTAGCATTATAAAGTAATGCCCACTTTATAAGGAAATGGATGCAATTCAAGAATTTTAAAAAAACCTAAACTCATCAACACAGTGCATTTGCAAATTGATCAGCAAGATGATCCAAATGTAAATTAAAACACGGATCTTTAAAAGGAGTTTTAAAAGCTTTTTTTCATTTACCATAATTGTAGCAGTTCCTATTTTAAAATGAAGAAATTGGGGGACCAGCTGATAGAGTAATGGTTACGTCACTAGACTCCCACATCATCAATCACGGTTCAAGTCCCAGACTGGGCAGCTTAAAACTCACTCCAGGCATGTGTGCGTGCATGCCCAAGATCCTGAGAAAAGAATAAAGGAGAAGGGATTTTTAGCAAGGCCACCTCCCAGGGGGGTGATTTCTTGCTTTCTGATTCTCTGGAGTATGCATACGCCCTATAACAAAATCTTTCAGAAAAAAAAAAAATCAAAAATTTATAAGGATGCAACTGATTATACATTTTCAAATTAATTTATTTTTAACTCAAAAATATAGTTTTATGCATAATGTTGTAAAGTTTCTCCCCTCAATTTATAAAAGCAATATTTGCTCATTTCTATTAATTTGAAAGTTCAGAAAAAGAAATCTTTAAACCTGAGAAAAAAGTTTCATAATTCCCCCCCACAAATGGCAGTCTCTATCAGACTATCTTCATCTTGTCCTCACACGTATTCCATTTAGGATGCTGAGACTATGTAAGTGCAATTTTTAATATAAAAGTATAGCATAAAGTCTTTCAGATATCACTAAAAGTTCTTTGCATGGTGCTACACCATAATTTAATTATTGCTTAATTATTCTCTTTATGCGCAAATATCTTCATGCATAAATACCTCCAAAGGCATCCGCATTTGGATTACTTCCATAGTGTATATTCCTAAAAGTGGCATTCCTAGGGTATGAACACTATGAAAGCTCTTAATGCATGCTGCCAAATTGGTTTCCAGAAAATTTATACTAATTTACTTGCATCTGCATTCTATTGGGTTGTTAGAAAAGCCATGATGCATTTTTTGCATAGAAAAACATGTCATGACTTTTCTGACCACCCAATATTGCTAATTTGACAGAACAGAAATGAGATCTTCCTTTTTTGTTCGTGACTAAAGATATTGAATCCTTTTTTTCAAGAAAAGGTCTTACTTTGTCACAATCCTCCTGCCTCCCCTTCCAAGAAGCTGCGACTACAAGCACATACCACCACTCTTGGCTTGAAGGATGGTCTGGAGCTTGAACCTAGACCTTCCAGGTGGCCATAGCCTGCTGAGAAGGAACATAAGCCAATACATTACTGTGGCTGGGCCTGATAACATTTTTAAAGTAACTGACAATTTGCATCTCCTCTGCCAATAATCTGTTTGTGTTTCTTACCAGTTTGTATTCTGAAGTTTTAGTACTTTTAAAATTCTTATTGACATGATGAGCTCTTTTACAATATTAAGGAAAATAACCAGTGGTACATTGGTTAAATGTTGCATAGAAAAACATGTCATGACTTTTCTGACCACCCAATATTGCTAATTTGACAGAACAGAAATGAGATCTTCCTTTTTTGTTCGTGACTAAAGATATTGAATCCTTTTTTTCAAGAAAAGGTCTTACTTTGTCACAATCCTCCTGCCTCCCCTTCCAAGAAGCTGCGACTACAAGCACATACCACCACTCTTGGCTTGAAGGATGGTCTGGAGCTTGAACCTAGACCTTCCAGGTGGCCATAGCCTGCTGAGAAGGAACATAAGCCAATACATTACTGTGGCTGGGCCTGATAACATTTTTAAAGTAACTGACAATTTGCATCTCCTCTGCCAATAATCTGTTTGTGTTTCTTACCAGTTTGTATTCTGAAGTTTTAGTACTTTTAAAATTCTTATTGACATGATGAGCTCTTTTACAATATTAAGGAAAATAACCAGTGGTACATTGGTTAAATGTTTAATAATGGGCAATCACTTTTTTTCTTGAGGAAAAGCATCTAGTTTGTAGTGTTTGCCTATTTCTGTGGTATAAATACTCCTACTATGGTTTCTAATAACTTAATGTGAGTACTGTGAACACAAAGATGGGAAGAGGTATGTACAATCAGCTCTTACAGACAGGTACATTCTGGTTACAGCACACCACCAAAACTCTTGGCAATGGTATTTGTTCATTGTTTTTCCATTTGCATTTTATATCGTAATTGTATTTACAATGGTTTTTAACAAGTACTATATATAGTTAAATATTCAAATACTGAGTGGTCAGAAAAGTCATGACACATTTTTTCAAAGAAAAACAGAAAAACACATAATGACTTTGTCAACGACCCAATACTTTGCTTTATGATTTCTCTTTAAGATCAGAAAGTTCTTTGTTCAGAGGTAATGTATCTGTTATCTATAGCTGTTATTTATGGCTTAATTTTTATTTACATTTTAATCTACTTTTTTCTAAAATCTATATTGATATATGACATGAGGTAATAATCTAAATGGAATGTTTTCTAAATAAATAACCAGAGACCCCCACACACACCATTTGTAAATTTTCTCCCCTATGACTGTGAGTCTCATAGACAGCATCTTTTTTTATAGAATTATCATTATATCAATAATAATCATTATATTATTATCATTATCATTACATTCCATTAGTCTAGTTGGCTATACACCACTACTACCCTGATTTATTGATCCTTCTTTTATAAAATGCTTAAGTATATAGATTAACTATTCTTCACCAAAGGTCCAAACAGTCTACATACAGGGAAAAAGACACAACCAAACTCGAGCTAGTGATTTTGACACTTTTATGTCTTTAGTTAGGGCTTTATTTGCCCTTCGGTTGTCTCAATTTGCCAGTTTACAAATGAATGAGAGTCTTATATGTGTCTTTGAAATTCCTGTCATTCATTTGCTGCAAAAAAATCATTTGCCTGGTAAAATTCATTAACCTGAGGTTAACCATGGTTCAGGTTGTGACACATAAAATAATTAAACTTGAAATCATACACATTCACCAAAAAAAAAAAAAAAAAAACATCAAAACCCGAGTTCTATACTTTTACATCTTTTTCAGAAAAGACAAAGTTTTCACGTGTCTTCACCTGAAATTTCCTTGAATATCAAGTAAAATACACATTTTGTCTTATGAACAAGCAGATGTTTAAATTTTTTAATATTTATAAATGGTCACAAAAGATTGAAATCATTGTTCTCAGGACCATCATTCTGCTGTTACAGAAAAGTCAAGTTTATTTCCAGAATACTGGAACGAAATGAAGATATGACTAATGACACTCAAGTACAAACTCTGAACACACATAAGCTATAAATTTCTCATGTTCTCTGAGAAATACAGAATAATAAGCCCTTTCTGGTCCATATGTCTGCAACAGTTTGTTCAGAGTTGTTTGTGTTAGTTCTGCTACATTCATTGTGGTTCTGTTTCAATACATTAAGAATCTTGCCTGCTGCCATACTGAAGAGTCTCTTTTTCCAAACTTACCATTAATTGGGAAACAGGGCTTTGTTTTGTTTTGTCTTGTTTTTTGAAAAGCATTTATACAAATGATAGCCAAATGGCAGCCCATGGCCATATCAGCATAATATGTTCTGTTTGGCCCACATCGTGCTTATAATAGATTTTTAATAAGATGCCAATATTTGGAGATGCCAGTAATGTGGAGAAATTTCAGACAAATTCTGGATTTCTAGCGTCTGTTAAAATAGTATTGAGATGTCATCCCCACCTGGCAACCATCAGCTGGAATTGACCACTGCTGCCTCCTCAGATGTGGCAGAAAACACTTCCGAGACAAGACTCTCTCTCATTTACACCATCAGCCTAACTGATGCATTCAACTTTGTAACTCCTGCTTTAGATGATGTCTTATTATGAGTGATGGTAATTTTAACTCCATTTTACAGATTTTAGAAGACCAAATAAGAATTCGAGACCAGACAACCACAGGAACTAATTTCGCAGTACAGGAGCTAAACACTAAACACCTACAAGGAGTTGGAGACCTTCGAGGAAGGGTAGCCAGGTGAGACAAAGTACATTCATTAACGTTTAGACATCAGTTCCTGGTCACTAAATTCTCATTCCCAAATAAATTTTATATTGTAAAAAAATAACATATTGGGACCAGCGGTTAGCACAATGGCTATGTTGCTGGATCCCATGTAGTCAACCACAGTTCGAGTCCCAGACCCGGTGGCTTAAACTCACCCTGGGCACATGTGCATACATGCCCAAGATTCCAAGAGGAGAATGGAGGATAAGGGATGGCGGCATGGTCATCCACCCTGGGTGGTGATTTCTCGCTTTCTGTCTCTCTGTCTCTCTCTGTCTTTCTGACGAGTGCACACGCCCTATAGCAAAAAAAGAAAAACCTCTCCAAAAAAAGAAGATGAAGAAAAAAAAAAAAAAAAGACATTATTTTTATATTAAGCTAAATTGATGAGGTGGTAGTTGACAAAGTTTATCATAGAATTATGAAAGCCTTACACTAGCTGTGAGATCCAAAGTTTCTATAAGAAACCTTGTATAGGGAACCAGCAGTTAGTGTAATGGCTATGTCGCTGGACTCCCACGTAGTCGACCGCGGTTCGTGTCCCGGACCCGGTGGCTTAAAACTCACGCTGGGCGCATGTGCGTGCATGCCCAAGATCCCGAGAGGAGAATGGAGGAGAAGGGATTGCGGCGTGACCATCCCCCCTGGGGGGTGATTTCTCGCTTTCTGTCTCTATGTCTCTCTCTGTCTGTCTGGCGAGCACACGTGCCCTACAGTGAAAATCTCTCAAAAAAAAATAAATAAATAAAAAGAAACCTTGTATATAAAATTTGCCAGTTTGGTTCTATCAGAAGTGACGAAAATCTTATCTTCATGGCCTTCAGCTGCCCAAATACCACACACAGACACACTCTCATAACCACTATAAAGTACCCTGATGTGCCAAATTTAAAATACATAAGAATTGTATGTAAGAGAGTAATAAAAGAAATTTACTATCAACTAGAGAAAGTTTTGAATAACATCTTCTGTATGAGATTTCTAAATCAAAAGAGTTAATGGTATGCAGTTCAGGGGGGTGGGGGCAATTTGTAGGTATTAACAATGGCAGGACTACTCTAGTGGAAACATTAAAGACAACTTGTGTGGGACCAGCAGGTGGCGTGCTGGTTAAGGTGCTGGACACTCCCACATGGCTGACCACGGTTCAAGTCCTGGACCTGGCAGCTTACTTTCTCACTTTCTCTCTCTCTCTCTGTTTCTCTCTGGTCAAATTAAAATAAATGAATGAATAAATAAAATAACTAAAAAAAAAAAAAAAAAGACAACTTGTGAATGACTGACCAGGGAGGGACATTTTCCTATCTTCTGCCAAGTTCTCTTTCCTCTCCTGCCATACTCCTGCCTCCATCTTGTTAATTCTCTCCCAAGTGCTAATGATCAAATGAGACTTAGATAATTAATACCAAGATAAATCTGCTTCAGTCTGCTTGTGGTGCTATAACAGAATACCTGAGGCTGAGTAATTTATAAAAATTAAAATTTATTTTGTCATAGTTCTAGAGACTGGGAGAATTTCAAGATCATGGTGCCAACAGGTTCAGTTGTCTGGTTAGAGCTGCATCCTTCAGAAAGGAGAAATGCAGTATCCTCACACAGGAGAATGTGAAAAGGAAAGCCAGTCAATTCTGTGTGAAGACTCTATCCTAAGGCCCTTACTACCATTCACAATGGAGGCATCTTCATGACCTAATCACCTCTTGAAGGCCCCACCTCTTAATACCATCACATTGACACTTGACTTGTGGATGGGAGCCACTTCAAACCATAGTACTCTCCCAGAGTATTAATCCATTCAATTCAACAAAAAACATTAAGCACTTTCCATATGTCAGGCAATGTGCTAGGATTCAGCAACATGATCCCCTTCCTATAGCTGCTCACAGTCTACCTAGGAAAACAATCTCTATCAGTAAACAGTGAGGTGAACACTAAACTGAAACCCTGGAGTGCTGTGGGAATACCTAAAGAGAGAGGAGCAGAGGAAAGGCTTCCCAGAGGAAGTAACAATTTCGATGAGTTGTAGGCATTTGTAGCATATACAAATAGGTACACACACACACACACACACACACACACACACACACAAAAGAGGGAAGGATTACTTTGATATGTTTCAGGGCTACCTGTGAGAAGAGTATTTGTGTTGTGGTATTTTGGAGTACACATATAGGGGACATAGGGGATAAACCTAAAGAAGTAGTTCAGAGTTGGAAGATCTTATGGGACAAGGTTTAAAAAAAAGTGAACTTTATATAGATTATAAATAACTACAAGAGGAATTAAGGGAAGAACATACAGTTGGTGACACTCTGGTAGTAGCTGGATTAGTAGAGCATAGAAAGAAGCCATGAAACAGAGCCAGCAAGTGGCATGGTGGCTAAGGTGCTGGACTCCCACATGGCTGACCACGGTTTGAATCCTGGACCTAGTTGCTTGAAAATCATGCTGAGTGCATGTGCCCAAGATCCCAGGAGGAGAATGGAGAAGAAGGGATTATAGCAAGGCTATCCCCCTTGGAAGTGATTTCTCACTTTTCCTCTCTCTCTGTGACAAACACATGCACTGTGGCAAAAACCTAAAAAAGGCAAATAGGAATCATGAGGTTCAGAAGAAGGCTGTTGCAGCAATTTGGGTAAGAAGTGACAAGGTCCTGGCTACAGAAATCCAGACCAAGAGACAGACAACACAGACATTAGGAAGAGAGACTCTACAGCATTAGTACGTGAACAAGTGTGGGAGATGAATTAAGAGGGCAGGCAAGGGCAGCCACCAAAGTTTCTGGAGACCGATTGAATACTCATGTTGTTTAACAGAGAAGGAAATATGAAATGACCAGTATTGACACAGAAGGGCAAGGAGAAGCAAGGGTAATAAATGTTCGATTTTCACCATGTAATATATGAGAAGCCTGTGGGATATTAACCACAGTGGGCATGGAGCTCAAAGGAGAGAGCAGGGTGGGGTGGTGTCAGGATGCCTGGGTTCCTAGCTGGCCCACAAAATAAATGATTTAGTGCTTCTGGAGAAGACTTTGTAGTTCTAGAATGTGCTTCATTCCTTTTTAAAAATAAAGACAATTTCTAAGGGACTGGCCTCATAGCCTAGTGGTTAAGGGAGCTACATGGCCAACCACAGTTCAAATCCTGACCCCAGGAACCTGAAAAATACATGTGTGTACACACATCAAATCCCTGAAGGATGGAGAAACAGAGGCAAAGGCATTGCGGTATGACTACACCTCATCTGAGGGGTGCTTTCGCTCTCTCCCCCTCTCTGTTTCTCTTTGGCAAATAAAAGCACTCTCTGACAATTAAAAAAAGAGAGACTGTTGGGGCCAGCAGGTGACATAGTGGTTAAGGTGCTAGACTCCCACGCGGAGGACCATAGTTCACGTCCTAGATTCAGCAGCCTGAAAATCATGGTGGGTGCATGCGCGTGTGTGCCCAAATTCCCAGGAGGAGAACATGGGAGAAAGGATTGCAGCATGCTCCCCCAACTCCCCAGGATGATTTCTCACTTTTGTTCTCATTGCCTCTCTCTGTCTTTCTCTGGAAAGCGCATGTATCCTTTGGCGAAAAAAAATGAGAGAGAGAGAGAAACTGTGTAGAAAACAATACTCCTGGTTAAAAAACTCTCATCAAAGAAAGCCCAAAGACTATATAGATATTGATGTAAATTATTTACATTGTGATTAGTTGTAAATAAAACACACAAAATAATTTTCGTACAGCTGCAGTAAGTTATGAAGTAAGATAAAGCCAACACAAGCAAACCCACAATGCTATTTAGCCGTGCCATGGTTTTGCAAAGAAAATAAACACCGAACACCAGTTTTGAAGGGAATGTGATGTGGTTCAATTTGGTGGTGTGTTGTTGACACTGTCAGATCTTTCTGTCTGCAAACCATTTATAAAGCTGTTACTCTGTTATTGCAAATTCTGTTTTACATAAAAGAAGAGACAAGTGGACAAATAGATTTAAAAGTAACCAAGAGATTTATGGAAGGATGTGTAACTTTTCTTGCTCTGCCACAATTTCTTACTTATCTTCCCCTCCAGTATTAAGCAGTAATTTTAGAAGGAGGTCCTGCTTTTCCTAGAAATGTCTTCTTTTTTATGGAAAATTTCTGAAATCTATTTGGTAATCTGAGACAGAATCTGGCCAAAAGCCATGAGACTGAAATTACGCCATACTCTTTAGTTTCTTGTCTGTGTTGTTGCCAGGCAAATGACTAGAGGACTAGCTCATGCAGATTGATGACCGTCCTTCTACATACAGAGACCTTCATTTCAATTGCATTTTGGCATAAGTTAAATTAAGTTGATTATTTTAACATAATTCCTAGCAAACACTTTACTGCTTCATAAATCAGCCTTGATATTTAATAACTACAATGTGCCTGGATTTTTATTTTCCACTCTGATGTAGAGGCAGTTTAAAAGCAAAGACCTCCAGTGAAATGAGGGTCTTGGAGTTGCCCTGCCTGCTTTTGACACCCTCCTCTCTCTGTGATGGGTTCATCTCAAGAGCAAAAACTAGGCAAGCATGGAAAGTGCACCCATGGGAATGCTCCTGACTTACAGTCTGTAGCAGCAGCCAGAGGAGGCCAGTCCTGTAACAACAGATGGCTTCTTAGGACTCTAGGGCATACCTGCATATAGAAAAAAAAGAGAGAGTGAGAGAGAGAAATTGCATTGTGTGACTAACAGTAAAAATCAGGGCACCTACCTAGTCTACTATGGAGGAGGTAGGACTGCTCTGGCTGATGGCAAGGATCCAGTAAGTTTCTAATACTCAAGAGATAGAAGGAACAACAGGGAGGCCTGTCCTCAGGGACCCCCACCCAGCCTGCTGTGGGGAAGGAGGGGTTGTCCTGGCCCATGCTAAGGACTACTGCCCCGTTCCTACAGTCCCACAAGTAGATGGACCGGCAGGAAAGCCTAGGATAGAAGGTAGGAGCTGCCACC